AAAAAAAAAAAAAAAAAGTTCCTGCTTCCTGTGGGTGACTCTGCATCTTATCCAGCTTCTGGATGTTTGACTACAGGGGGTATTTAGTAACCAAGAGGAAGTTACAGATGCCACCCGCTAAGTATAAAGACTTTCCTGCTGCTATTTGTCTCCTCAGCTTCAGTTCCAGCATGGCCTCTCACTGCCTTGACCTCCTAACCTCCAATGGTCTTGTCCTCCACCCTACCTCAGCTCCCAGTGACCCGGTCTTCGTTGGTAACTGTACACTCTCCTAAACCTCAATTTCAAACATCATTTCTTTCTTCTGGCTCACCCTCAGAATATTCTGACCCCAATCATTCCTCACCTCTGGAAGGTCTTCCAGGTTACTGAGCCTACCACATTCTCACTGCCCATCACCGCCACCACCCTCGTTCTCCGACTTCCTTCCTTGCTGGACTAGGTTCCATTCTCCATCAGTAAAAATCACTTGCTTACTATCTTCAACTCCCCTGCCCTTTTCAATATGGATTTTACTGTATAAGTACGACTTCTAACCTTGGTTAATACTAAATCCCTGCCAAACCCAAGCAGCTGAATAAGCTAGGAAACAAATAAACAAATTACAGTCATGCTGAGTGTTTTTCTTCAAATTTGTGATCATAACCCTCAAATGGACCCTCAGTGCTGCCTGGAAATCCTACTACGTTTCTCTAGTTAATTTTCTCCCAGTCTTTCAATGACTATTTCAAATTACCTCCTCTCTCCTCAAACCTCTAATATCCAGACCTCTTCCTCACTCCTGCTACCTTTGCTTCTTATTTCGGTGAGGAAAAAGAAGCATCACCAGAGAAACTCAACATTCTTCTACCAAGCTGTCCCGCTCACTCTTCCTCCTGTTACAGTGAAAGAAAGGTCTGCAGCCCTATCTTAGTCAACCCCTCAGCTTAATGCCCGGGGTCCTATCCATTCCTGCAGTTGTCCACTCTGTCCTCCATCACTCGTTTCCCTTCTCTGCTCCAGTACTTCCACTTGGACACCTTCAGTCTTATCATCCATTTTAAATGAAACCTCCCTTGACCAGCCCCACCCCCAAACCCATTATGTACCTTCCTTCACAGTAAAACTTCTTGAGTTATTTCTCTTCATTGTCTTCATTTCTCTTGTCCCATTCTCTTTAGAGTTCTCGCCAACTAGGCTTTCATCCACACTATTTGACTGAAATCTCTCTCGCTAAAGTCAATAATGACTGCATAAATACCAAATCCAGTGGCACTTGAAATAGGATATTAACAGGTGCAGTCAGGATGAAGCATTTTAGAAAAGAAAACATGACAAAATCATAGCATCTTTGAAAGTAAGAGATTGATATTACTAATAGTGGTGCAGCCAAAGACCAGACAAGATATATGTGAATTTACTGAAATATAATTTCCTACAGATAGCAAATACGTCAAAGAAAATCTTTAATACTGACAAAATGCTGAGTGGTTACAGAATAAATCATATGTACATTTTAACAGAAAACCTTTAACAGAAAATCCGATCTGTTAATGTATTTCTGAGGTCACCGGAGTGCCCAGAAATCATATCATTTAGTCCTTGAATCACATTTGGTATTTACCACCGCACTGACATAGTGACATACATCAAAGTGTGTATGACAATTTCCAGTGTACAACACAGAAACAATACTGTTTGTTCCGGTGCCTCTGGCTTCATCTACACTTCTGCTGGACTAAAGGAAACACGAGGGAGAAAAGTGCCAGAATGGATAATGCTATGATAACTGGACAAGAAGGCCAGACGGCAAAATGATCTCTTCCAAGGGCAGAAAGAACTCCTTACGGGTTTGTAAAAGAAATGCTTCTTGACACAAAACAGTGACTTAAGAGTGGAGATCATACAGATATAAAATGTTGGAATTGGAAATTTTCTAATAACATTCTTCAAATCCTTATTTTATAGAGAAGGAATTTCATGCCCAAGTAAAAGCCGAGTCATCTACAGAGAAGAGAAGACACCTAG